TATTCAGTTTGAAAATTTTTATGCCTTTAGCTCGTAAAACCTGAATTCATTGCAATAATTAAACGAAAAGAACGAACATATCTATGATATGTTACTATTCTTGACCTAATAGCCGTCAAACTGGTAAAGCATTCATTTCGATTAATGAGACCGTGTTTCACGATATGTCTCCATCTCGCTTTTTTAACTTGTGATCATCTTTGCGCCTTTGGTACCCTACGCTACTTGCAGTAGAAAATTTATTAAGTTTGTGCGAATGTGTACGGAATATCCGGAAGGACTTAAGGTGAACCTAACTTTTATTATACCAGTCGATTCAGAATGATCTCATAAAGCGATTTAAGCCGATCTCCGTTTTCCCCCTTTTTTTGGTACGGTGTCTACCCATGTATTATTTTGTTCAATTATCGAGCTAGATTTTTACGAACCGGAGCTTTTCGGCATATAGAAGAAAACTATTTGACCCAGAAAGATCTTATAAGAAAACTATTCGATTCGGTTTGACCTCAGAAAGCGACTAAAGCCGATCTCCGTTTCCCTGGGCTTTTGCTTGATGTCTATCCAGGTATTATTTTGTTCAATTATCGAGATAGAATAGAGAGTGTTTTCCGAACCGGAGCTTTTCGGCATATAGAAGAAAACTATTCGACTCAGAAAGATCTCATAAAGCGACTTAAGACGGTCTCGTTTTCTTTGGTTTTTTGTACGTACGTCCATCCACGTATTCTTCTGTTCAATTTCGAACCGAAGCTTTTCGGTGTATATAAGAAAACTATTCGATTAGGTTTGACCTCAGAAAGCGACTAAAGCCGATCTCCGTTTCCCCGGGTTTTTGCTTGATGTCTATCCAGGTATTATTTTGTTTAATTATCGAGATAGAATAGAGAGATTTTTACGAACCGGAGCTTTTCGGCATATAGAAGAAAACTATTCGATTCAGAAAGATCTCATAAAGCGACTTAAGCCGATCTCCGTTCCCCTGGGTTATTGTATTACAACTATAGAGAATCGGATCAATCGCCGTATAAAGTCTTGTTTTGACAAAGTGTTTCTTCGGAAAAAGATTGCAATTTTGAAAAGTCAAACAATCACACAAATCGTTTAGTTTCAATATTTCTTAGATCTTTGTTTTTACGAAACGTTAGATCTAATTTCCAATATTTCACACCATGAATTGGTCCATAATACTGAGTTGACATAAAATGCAGATCTCTTTTTATATTTCATCTCGTATACGGTATCTCAAGAAACATTGATGCTTTTTAGGCCATTTTGGCAACCGTTTCGCATATAAAGCACTTTTTATGGAAAAATCTTTTCCTTTATATTTCTCGAAAAATGTTTAATGGCAACACAAGGTTAGTTGAATTGAATGAAAAATTTAAATGATGGAAAATGTAGCCATGGTGTCAATGTAAAATTTTTAGTATTTTGGAATAAAACAAATAAGAACAGATGAGTCGGGGCGCAACTTTAAATTCTCTGCAGCACCCTTTTATTATTATGCATAAAACTTGTTGTCAAAGTGAATTGTTATAAGGACATAGATTTAACTCAAGAAGATGAGATGGACGGACGGACAGATGGACAGACAGAAGCTTAGATCGATCGAAAAAAGTGATTCTGAATAGATCGGTGGAATAAAAATTGAGCGTATCTGAAGTTCATCTGCGTGTTACATACATCCGCAACAAAGTTAATATTGGTTGACATTTTGTACTTATTCCAGTTAAAAGTAAGCCTTCGTAAGGCAACAATTGTCGAGTGACGATGGTATTTGGCGAAGATGGTTTTAACGATCAGCCTTGGCTGTCTTTAACGTTTCAATTTTGTTTTATTTTGTAATTAACACACACATTAACATGCTATTAATTTCGATATAGACCTTTAAGTATTCTAATAAGAAGAAAATTGAAGGCAAAGAGCTGTTAATGGTTCACTTTTCTATTCCCTTATTCAACATCTTTTATCTGCTTTGTGTTTTTTTCTTTCTGTGTTTTTTTTCTTTTTTTTTTCTGCTCATTCTATTTTGAAGAGGAGTAAACGAACATGTTAAAGTTGTGTTAAACAAGTTGCTAAACTCCGATGAGTATCCTTGCGTTTTCCTCTCAATTATTTCTTCTTCTGTTGTGGTCTTTGAGTTTTTCTTTCATACTTAACGCTATGGTCGGTCTTTGGCCACATAATCTGGCATTTAATTAACTTTTTTCCTTAAACAAATGTCCGGCAATTAGTCAGCTTAACATTTCCGTTTTTTGTTTTTTTTTTTTGTGGTTTACTTTAGCTCTCTTATATGGGCCAAGAAGATATATAGAAGATTTAACGATAGTTGACATTGACAAATGAAATTGTAAATAGGTTGGTCAAGTTATCCTACACTTTCCCATAAAATAGGTATAAGCAACTTATTATATATATATACAAAGTGTCATTTAGTTACACACATATAAGGCTGAAAATTTTTTGAAAGATTTGTTGCAATTTGTCTCTAACATGATTTATGTTATCCTTCAATGAGAAATATGCTAAGTTGTAGAATTGATGAAGAATGTATGCATTAAATATCTGCTTTTGACATAGTGGCCAGTCAGTTGGACACACAAAGGACATTTCTGCAAAAGATTTACAGTATTCATCAAAAGGAAGCTAACTAGCATTGCTTAAAGCGAGAGATAGACAGAACTGATCGAAAATGACAATGAATGCACGAACAACTAAAGCACTGCTAAGAAACTTAGTTAGAATATTTTCAAAAAAGAAGTGAAAAGAATCAAAATCGCGGACATATAGTTTATCGTTTATTTCCGGAAGGATGACGAATCATGAAAATCTTGCATTCATTTATGTCCTAAACTATCAAAAGAAGGGTCTCTCCTTCTCATGCGAATGGGATCGGAATGTCCCGAACCGATCTTGTCCAAGTTTATTGAAATCATTCTTTTTTTTCTCATTCTTTTCAATCATTGTACCCTGCACGGTTTGTGATTAGCGTGGATGTATGTAACATCCAAAAGGTCTTGACATATGTCCACATTTTATTATATTGATCGATTCAGAAAGTAGTTCTAAGTTTGTCTTTTCGTGTGCCTCTCCGTCTTGATTGCTTATGTTCAACCTATAGGCCGCTACACCGATATGTTTTGACCCGAAGACGAACGCTATTGAAAATGATTTGGATTATGGCACTCTTTCTACTACTTTTCGCTTTATTTTGAAAAGCCTTTGTATAAACAACTGTAACAAGCGAAGTTGTGCAGGGTATTTAATGCTGGGCCAAGTGTTTTTACTTATTTTTCATCATCAATTACTAAAAATTACATCATCTTGCCCTATGAAAACATATTTTTGATGAGAGCATTTTTATGGGAAACGAATGCAAAACATGTTCACCTATGAAACAAATTTTGTCAATTTATTTAGTACCCAAAAAAACTATTTTTCTTAACGGTCGTTTTCAAAAAACATTAAAATTCGCAAATTTCGCAAAGAGTGGCCCCATCAAACGAAAAGCAGTCGTCCTTGGTCTAAGATATGCCTATGTATGAAATTTCATTAAAATATCTCGAAAGCTTGGGAGGTGTAAGTTTAATACGTCAGCTAGGCACGTGGAATGACGGACGGACAAGGAAAATCATTTGAAAATATTTTTCTTGAATGTTTAGTACAATAAAAAGTCGCATCTACATCGAGCCTTTCTCGATATAGGAAACATCTACACAAACTTAACATACCATAATGTACGTACGGTAAGTGGTGTAGCATTAGTATACTCAAAGTTGAATCTTGAACTTCTTCTTTGTATTGCATGCCATCGCACAACCTTAATAAAGCCTTACGTCAAGAGATAGCAACCCATTGAGAATTCTAAAGTTTAGTAAATAAAAGGCAATTTCAAACTGAAGCATCGCCTTGTACTTACAAAAGGAAATCTTCAACTCGAACAGCAGACGAGCCAAGAGTTATCGGTGTTTTTCTTTTCCTTGTCTGCCTTTCGTATTTATTGGTGAATTTTTCAAAAATTAATTGTAGAGCACTGTTTAATCATTTTCATTTTAAAGAAAAAAACATGGGAAAAACATAGAGAAATAGAAAATGTACAAAGAATAATCCACTAGGAATTTCAAGACCTTCTCAAGGGATATTCGTTATAAAGGTTTGCATTTCAAGGCATATAAAAAACCACTTGAAAATATATATCGTTCTGACGTCATCATCATCACTACTGATTGTTAAACTACTTTTGTGAAAGCCCCTTCTAAAGAGATCTTGTTCGACAATAACTCCAATAGAAGCAGTCGCCGCAGACAAAAAGTTTCTAGAGTGCAGCGAATAAAGAAATTTATAAGTCTTTAAAGGACGAATGTTGTAGTGCAATAGTGCTTTAGGGATCCATTTAAAAGCAGGTTTGTCTATATAAGAGTAATTATGATGGGTCCCTTTTTTCCCCGTTCGCGTTTTCACTGTGTTCACTATTTAATGATTATTATTGCTTACTTTCTGTAGATGATCCAAATGATTAATCAGCAGTGAATTAGGGATTTAGGAATCCGACGATGAGTTTTGAATTGTAAGCCTAAGGTAAGGTTCAATTAAAGATAGCCCCAGCTTCGAAATATGGTGTTCGCAACTCGTGTACAACGTGATGCCACTTTCACTCTAAATTAAAAATCTATGCGGGGACACGAAGCAGACGTCGTCCACCTACCGAACGATCTCGCTTAATCTCAAACACAATATTTAAATCCCCAATGTAAGCGCATGATCAATTTCAAATCGCCATAAAACATAAATCTTTCACAAATCTTTCTTCTATAAAGAGAGAAAGCTGCAATACTGCTCGGTGTACTTCTTCTCTAGTTCTTCGTTTAATCGTTCAACGATGCGTTCATCTTATTCTTAATGGCAAATTATTTAAACCAAAAAAAAGCTTACACGATCCGTTGTATCCGTGAATTCATTTCATAAATATTTTTAATAATTACTTATACGCCCACACTTACCTCGTTTCATTTAATAAACAGCTAAACGGGTGTTTGTTGTTCTCCTAAATAATTTAACGTCAACAGCATTGAATTCTTCGCATACGAAAATTGTTTTATATTTTTTTTTTTATTATTTATTTTTAAACACCTATTAAATAGAAAACAAAAGAGAAAGGAAAAGGAAAATGAAAATGAAAAATACTTATTAACTATAAATCTTCGTAAAAGTAAAACAAATTTAATAATAGAATAACAAACAGCATAAATCTCTTTCTTCAGCTTTTACAGGATAAATTTTTCATTATTAAGGAAACACATAAAACTACGTATATATATATATATATATATATATATATAAATATATAAATTCTCTTCGTACACATATATATAAATTCTCTCCTTAGTAATGCTAAGTGATGCACACATGCAAACATATATATATATATATATATATACACATATATGTATACCTATGCACGCACACAAAAACGCACAGATGTCTAGACGTACAGATATCATGCGTTTCTATAAGAATACTGCATTATATAATACATATATATATATGTATATATATACAGAACAGTTATATATTTACTAGACTTAAGGGATTTTACGGTACTCAGAAAAATTTTATGACAACATCAGCATAAAGCTTTATAAAGGTGTAAGTATCTTAATGTGCTTGCGTGTGTATGCTTAAGTTTACCTTGAGCTATACCACCGTAAGCCTGTGTATATAGAATACTAATGTGTATGTATGTATGTACGTATGTGTGTGTGTGTATGTGTGTGTACATATTCAGCTGTGATGCAGTTGTAAGTCTTCTCACGTGACAAGCTGAGAGGGATGCGGATAGATTTCAAAGAACTAATATAGAAAAGGATCTGAGATTTTTTTGCTTTTTTTTTTTCTCTGAGCAAAATAGATTTGCTTCATATGTATTAAAAATTAAATAAGATATCTTGGGATTTATGTCAGAGGAATTGAGAAAATAATTGAAAGTAAAATGAATACACACATACCCATGTAATAAATTTTATTGTAATGACTCTAACGAAGAAAGCAAATAACTGCAGATATCTATTGTGCTAAGTCAGTCAACCTATTTCCGGCCCATAAATGATATAAATAAAATAAATTTTGCTGAGAATTGAAATTTTCTTTTATTATTAAATATAATTACTTTACTTATGTTCAAAATATTTTTTTTCTTCTTTCTTAGACTTGGAAAATCTTTTTGTGATTGCTATTGCTTCGTAGTCTTCGGAAATTGAAATTCTCGAGGTAATCAGAACGATTGGATCTAGAAGTTTAACACGGTTTCCTGCTTTAAACACTTAACCAGATGGAACCACATGCGGCACGGAGTAGTAATTGCATACTGGCTAGTTAAAGACTAGAAGATTATATAAACGCATCGCTTCTCTGCCTTTCTTTAGGTCAATCAGCGCTCTTTGAGTTCCGGACAATTCAACGCACACAAGGTCTTTCGAGGTTTGTGTCAACCATAGTCACCACAATGAATTGTTTCCCCTTCCAGACCGATGTCGGAAGATTGCTTTAGGAGCTTCCATGATGCCAAAACAAAATAAGACAAACCAAAAAAAAAAAAAATGAAAATCTCTAGTAGAACTTTATAGGTCCCATTTAGCCTAAACGTCATATGGAAAATAAGTAGAAAATCCGCAGATAAAGCAGAAGATGAAGAAAATAGAACCAATAACGCTATGCGCATGGGCTTAACACTCTCTACCCCTATCGACTCCGTCGAATATAGGAACAGCAGCCATATAAATAGGGTAGTCAAAGTGTGTCCAATCTAGGGAATGGAATGGAATGGATATTCCAGCATCTTTAGTATGAATTCTTTCCACTTGATTAGTTTACAAAAATAGATCGTTGTTACCCGATACATTATCCCATGCCGGTGTAGTGAGTCGCTCAGCCAGTAACACTTACCCCGATTGTGTACACAACCGCTAAACTTACCGTCGCTTTCCTATCTCTGAACGATTGTTCACAAAATAAAAAACAAGTAGGAATTTTTGAAGGAACACAAAGTGCCACGAGTAGAACAACCATTAAAGCGTTGCAGATATAAATTCCTGTAAATAATTTGTAAATAGATCTTCCACGATCAGAATTCAATGCTGCGACCTTGATCTCAGAAATTAGTTGAATAAATGAATGTAAAAGGGCAGAGTGGCGAAGAGCAGTTTACGTTACATTATCATTCGTCAAGCTTTTTTTTAACACTAGCACCACCTAGCAGGTCATTTTGAACCCTTTTTTAATTTTCAATATTAAAAAAAAAAAAATCGGTTACAAAGTGTGTAATGTTCCAGAATGTTTTATTGACTGTTGCTTTCATGGGGAAGGACCTTTACCTGTACCTATAGTCACTTTTTTTTGCTACTTGAGCTACTTTTCGAGATGCCTTTGGTATACATCCATTTACACCAAAAAGAGTATGGTTTGTAAGAAACAACCTGAAATTTGGCATTGACATTCCTCGATCGGAGGTGGGGTTAAAAAATTCCATCTCGGCAATATGGAAGAAATTGAAACAAGCTTGAAAAAAGGTCGATAACTTTTTCACATCTTTGCCGGCAACTTTCGTTCGCTTGAAGATATTTCTGCCAATATGTGACGAAAATATTCGTCACGATCGTCTATCTGTTCAGTTCGAAAATATGGCCACAATTTGCAATAAAATTTAAAGTCCAATATATTTCCCATTTATTCTAACAAAGCTAAGGATTTTTCTCACTTAACTGCGAATCGCATAGGAATTAAGATTTTATCGTTAATTTTGGTCTTATTAGTGAACCGAGCGAGATCAAGGAAATTCGGAGGAGGAGGTTTTTCGAACTATCTTCACAGGATCGAAGATTGTAGATGAAAATCTCAGCGGCGGTAGGGTTTTAAATAAAGCCTTCGCCTTTCCTTGCTATTGCTTTAAGGTCTCTAAGGAGAAAGTATTTCTCTGCTTAAATTAGTTATCATTATTTTATTATTAATTTCGGCAGAGAAATAAATTCTAAGACTAAATTCTTAAAGCACTAGCATCTAAGGCTATCGGCTTTTATTAAAAACTCTAAAGCACTTGATATTCGAACCCATGATCATTGAGTTGCTAGTGGAGATTCCTCGCCTTCGGCAACTCAGGCGGATAAGATAACAATAACATAAATGAAAGTATCAAAAATATTATCGTTATTTTTTTCAAGATTGTTTTAGTTTCTCATCTATGTTGGGCTTGTGTATGTAATCGGTCAAGCATTTTTTGTGCTAAATTTCAGCTTCCCGGATCGGAATGATCCCTTTGAATGGAAATACAAATAATTGGATTTATGCAAAACCTTAAGAGTTCCAATGTGAAATCATCTGATCGATCAACGATGCTAAGGACAGAGATTTTCTTTCGATTTTAACCAAAGGTTCAACTTTCATTAAATTCACTTTAAAGAGGAGAATATCGTCACCTGAACTCAATATATTTCCGCTTTCTTGCAGTTAAAATGTCTAACGACTCTTGACGCAGCTTTAGAATCCTCGCTCAATACGAGACGGCTTCATTGAACGACATTTATTCCATTGATATGGAAATTTGTTAATGAAGAAAAGTCTATTGAAAATTCGTTGAGAACGTTGTTGCTTTTATTCTCACGTTTAATACTTTATTAAAATTGTTTACTTAAAATGTTTATTAAAGTATTAAAAATATGATATTCATGTTTATGTCGTAATAATGCAAAAAATAATAATAACAATAACACGCAACCACTATGCATACATGAATACACATAAACTCGCACTCTCGAATAAAGAACCGTAGAGTAAGTCGGCCGTGTATTAATAACAGGATAATTTGTGAACAGCAACAGCAACAATGCTAAATGAAATCTATAAAATATAGTGCTACGCTATCCTATACACGAATACTATATGGAGTTGATTTAAACTCATGTATAATTGCTTATTCGCCTATATTTGTGGGTGTATTTGTGCTTTTGTGTAAATATACGTTTTATGTCATAAATATTTATGAAAATTATTAAAATTATACTACAATAAAGTAAATACATTATTATATCATATACCACATATAAATACATATATATATATACATATATATATATATATATGTATATAGTAAATATGTATATAGTAAATAGAAAATTCATATACCCTTCTCAGGTACTGATAATGACTCAAGACAGATTATATATGTTATTACGACACGTGCTCTCTCGCGAAGCAGGCACATTTAAGGGTGTCCAAAAAAGTAACGGGAAACGACTCTATTTAGAGCGCATTCCTTATTTTTCTTATGTTGCCTATGATGATTTATTTTTGTGATCGCTTAAACCCTAGTGACAAACATATTTACTCACTCACTTGTTATACCTACGCCATACTATTTGTAGTATAGGCTGTATTAAGTTTGTGCGAACGTATGCAACACACAGAAGATCCACCTTTGTTATATCAATTGATTTAGAATCAACCTCTCTGTCCGTCTGTCTGTCCTTTCATTCAATGCCTGCTCATGTACACTTGTGTTCAAGCTACAGATCGTAAATATTGCAATTTGGTGCTTTGAAGCAACCACGAAAGCTAATGAAAATGGTTCGGAACGGTCCGCTTGTACGATCACTCCTCATTTAATGCCGCATTTTGAGAAGTCGTTTCAAAAGTTCCCAAAATTTCTCGACAAACGTGGTTAAGTAACAGTAACTTATTATAAGCTTATAACAAAATTTTAGACCGAGATAAGCCTGATGAACTGCATGTTATAAGAGCTGAAGTATCAAAAAACTTTGCAGTTAATGCAGTTATGGCAATGCCGTTGTAGTAAGATTGCTGAATAGAAGACTTCCTGGATAGTTTTTTAATGTTGTCTTAGTAAACATATATAAAAGTGTGCCAACTTTCTACTTTTCTCGGGACGTACGGACAGACAAGCATAACTAAATCAATATTAAAGTTGTATCGATTTTCTACTACACCATATATGTTATTGTAAACGTAATGCCAAAGCTGGCATACTTTCATGTTTAGCTGGTGTTCATAAAAATAAATCGCACTTAAATACTTGTAGAAAAAAAAGTGTCAGTAAAATTAAATTAATTTAATAAAA